AACTGATCACCACATCAGAAACTGCCCTCAATGGGAGATTGAATGGAAGAAAGAAAGAGCTGAAAGAAGAAACAGGAAGAAGGAACAGGTTCAACCAAAAAGAAACAAAGGTTCAACTAAGGCTATGGTTGCTGCTTGGGGAGAAACATCAGATGAGGACTCTGAAGATGAAGCTGAGGAGGATCAAACTCTAATGGCCATCGGAGAATCAGAAGATGAACAGGAGGTAAGTATTCTACACCTTAAAGAAAAAATTAAGTTCCTGTCTAAGGAAAAACTGGCTGATCTGCTGATGGATTTCATAGATGAGTCTGAAATAATAAACAGTGAGAAGGATGTTCTGTCTAAGGAATGTGTTATCCTAGAAGAAAAATGTAAAAGCTTAGAATCTAGGGCTGATAAGAGTGTTAACTCAAATACTGAGTTGAAGAACCAGGTTCATCAACTTGAAAATAAGATTCTAGAACTTAGATCTGAAAATATTAAACTGAAATTAGGGACAGAAAAGAAAAGGGCTGATCAATCATTTCTCACCCTAGAAGAAAATCTAGGAAAAATGAAAGATGAACTGTACAAGAAAGATGAATTGATTAAAGTCATAAAAGAAGATTTAGGAAAGGTAAAGCATGAACTACACAGAACATGCAAATGGAACAAGGCTTCCGATGCACTCTCCTGGCTGCAAAAACATCATAGTAGCAACAAGAGAGGACTTGGATTTGGGACACAAGCTCCAAAATGGGATCCCAAAAACAAGTATCTCACACTTCCTGAGAATAAGATCTGCACACACTGTGGTAATACTGGCCATTACAAAAATGAATGTAATGCAAGAGAAAAGGCCAGTCAAAAGAACAAAGCCTTTGTTCAAGAAAAGCACAAACTGCCTGGTTGGGCAAAGAAAAATTAATTCATCCTTTTGCCCATAGAAAGGGACCCAAACTAGTTGGGTTCCTAAGACTAACCCATGNGAAGAAATTTAGTTTCACCCATCATACTCATTTGAAACTCACTTCCCATTAATTTAGCAAATTCCTTACTCAACTATCTGTAGTGTCCCCAAATATTATTATTCATCCAAACATATATTGTACAACAAGAAGATCTTTACCTTTTTCCCTTTAGGAACAAAGTGCTGTCAATTTTACCTCTTTTGTACCCATGCTCCAGAAGGAATTTTGACAATCTCTTTCATACCAAGCTCCTTGGGGCCTGCTTGAGACCATAGAGAGCTTTATCCTAGGCTTGTATACGTGAATCAGAACATTCCTTTTACTTTCAATCTGTGAGGTTGTTCTCCAAACACTTCTTCTTGAGATAGCCATTTAGGAAGGCACTTTTGACCATCCATTGATGAAAGAAGTGAATTCCCATATGTGCCTGCAAAGGCTATGAGGAGTCTAATTGCTTCAAGTCTAGCCACTAGAGCAAAAGTCTCATCATAATCAAATGCCCTTCCGCTCTTGACTATTAGCCTTGAACCACCAACCTTGCCTTATTTCTTGTAACTGTTCATCTCTCCATCTAGTTTGTTCCTGAAGCCCCATTTTGTACCACAATGACTGACCTGTCTTTTGGTTTTGGAACTAAAGTGCCAGACTTGGCTTCTTTCATAACTGCATTTAAGCTCATCTTGCCATAGCAATTGACCCAATCTGCATCTTGTAGAGCTTCACTCACATTTTTAGGTTCAATGTGAGGGACAGAAAATGCATCAAATGCACACAGGTTCTTCATTGTGAATCTTGTCCTTGACCCATAAAAAACCAGATGATTTGCGATCATTGATGATATTCTCGAATGGGGTGAGAACTCAGTACTTGTAAGCTCAAACCTTTCCCATCCATTCTGGTTCCTGCAGTTTCTCCTTCATAGTTTGCTGCAGAGAACCAGGCTTCAGGTACAGTTTCTTCAGATTGGAATATCATGCTCAGGTTGCCCTGGCGTGAGAGGACTTGTTCCATCACCTGGCTCCTTCCCTTTGATGCCACTTTGACTTGTGTTGTGCGCTTCAGTCATTGTCTCACCAGTCAATGGCTTTCATCTTCAAGTTCCTGTCTCTCAGAAAGAGTGTTAGATTCAATAAAACAACATGTCCACTCTCTTCAAACACATAGAGTTCTTTTATTAAACACTTTGTATGCTTTTGCTATTGTGAAGAATATCCCAAGATACTCCCTCATCACTTCTGGGATCAAACATAACCTAGGGAGTCTTTGCCATTATTGTGGCACATAGCACTTTACACCCAAAAAGCCTAAGATTGGGATATGTTGTGTTTTCTCGCCTTTAAGTTAATCATAGGAGTTTTTTTTCTACAAGAGGTCTAGTCATGCCATCTATTCTATTATATAAACAAGCATGTTTTATAGCCTCTGCCCAGAAGCTATGAGGTAGTTTACTGGAAAGTAGCATGCGTCCTTGCCATTCCTCAGGGTCTGTTCTTAACCTTATCACTAACCCATTTTTGCTGAGGAGTCCTGGATGTGGCAGAAATTATGATCTATTCCATTTTTCCATCACAAAAATTAGCAACTTGCCATTTTTCAAATTCAGTTCCATGATCAGACTAATGATGCAAGTGATTTCCCTAAATTGTTTCTGGGTTTTTCTAATAAAAAGCAATGGAACATTGTCAAAGCCTTTCATCTTTAGAAGTTTAGAAAAGCAATAAACCCAGGTAAATCTTCAGAATGAATGCATCAACAAGCACATTACATATCTTTTACCACTCTGCTCTGTTCTCAAGGTTGGACACAAAATCCAGTAATGAACCAGTTCCATACGTTTGGACGTACTTACCATTTTCTTAGGTTTGAAGGACTGACCATTACCTGCTTCCCCCTTGCACATGCCTCACAAACTTTGTCTTTCCTTGAACTTGATATTAGGTAACCCTATCACCCAGTCTTGGAGACTACTTTGTTCATTGATTTAGACTGGCATGGCCCAATTCTTTTTGTGCCAAAGAGGGATAAATTAATTAACACAACTCAAGCAAGTTATTTCATTTTCAGAGAGAGTGACAGATCTACAATGAAATATTGGTAATTCTCCTTCCCTCAAAAATAATCTTGTCAGTAGTAAGGCTAATCAAAACATTTTGTGGGAAGTGAAAGCCACAAGGTTACCTCTCTGTCACACAATTGTGACACACACCTTATTCAGGCCTATATTTTTAAGCCATTATCAAATAACATTCTCAATGGAATGAGAGTCTGGTCTTTCCTACCTTTCAAACACCAAATGATCTCACCTTTCTTTCCATTTCCAAGAGACATTACCTCTTTTTAGGTTCTCAAAAAAGGAAAATTGGTTTTGTTACCAGTCAATATGTTTTGGAGCAGCCACTATCCATGTACCAATATTGGCTACTTTCCCTTCACTTGTGTCTTGCAAAAAGAAATTCATGATCTCTCTCCGGCTAGGCTTGCAGATAAAACAAAGCTCAAATGGAACCATGATTCATTAACAGAAATATACAAATAAACTAATCAAGAAGTTTAAAATGGAGGACTCTAAAGAAATAGATACACCTATTGCAACTGCCACTAAATTAGATGCTGATGAACCTGGTTCATCAGTTGATCAAAAGTTGTATAGGGGTATGATTGGTTCACTCTTGTATCTTACTGCCAGCAGACCTGACATTGTTTTCAGTGTAGGACTTTGTGCTCGTTTTCAAGCTAATCCTAAAGAGTCTCACTTGACTGCTGTCAAGCGGATATTGAGATATCTGAAGGGGACTACTGAATTGTGCCTATGGTACCCTAAAGGTAGTAATTTTGATCTAGTAGGTTATGCTGATGCTGACTATGCAGGTTTCCTAGTGGATAGAAAAAGCACTTCAGGTATGGCTCACTTTCTTGGTTAATGTCTTGTATCATGGGCCACCAAGAAACAGAATTCAGTAGCCCTATCTACTGCTGAAGCTGAGTATGTGGCTGCTGCTTCTTGTTGTGCTCAACTACTGTGGATCAAGCAATAATTAGTGGACTTTGGTATAGAAGTGGGATGCATACCAATATTCTGTGATAACACTAGTGCTATAAGTATGACAAAGAACCCTGTTCATCATAAAAGGACCAAGCACATAGATGTTAGACACCACTTCTTAAGAGATAACTATGAGAAAGGGTTAATCTCCATAGAATTTTGTGCTACTGATAAACAAATAGCTGACATCTTCACTAAAGCACTGAGTAGAGAAAACTTTGAAAGGAACGGGTTGGAATTAGGGATGATTAAGATCACCTAAAAGGTCCAGTTCAGAATGCACAATGAAAAAAAAAATTTTTTTTTTTGGCTAGGAGTTCTTAATTTTTGTGAATATTAGACTAATTTTTACTCAGTCTCATACTGTAAATAGTATATTCTTGTGACATGTGTCTATGCAATTCACTGATCTCTTACAAATTTTCTATTTTGACCTTTGAGGCATAATCAAGAGTTTCCCTTGAAGAACCTGGTTCATCAAATTATGCTCATGAGAAAGTTCAGGTATGTTTCTATTCTTTGCACAATTACAAAGATTTAATTATCAATCATGAGCAAGAGTCCTAGATATACCAAACGTCCTAACAATTCTATCTGTTGGGTCAATTGAACCATTTTCATTGAAACTAGAAGTCTAAATATAACGACACATTCTCCTAAATTCTAGTAATTCAAATTAATCTCTACTGAGACCGGAACTCTAAATTGATTAGACCTCTATGTGACTACTGAAAAGGCTGCAGTTTCTGAGTGATAATTACCTTCTTTAAAAACCCCAAACCACTCAATAATTATCAATTCCTCATAAAACCCCTGATAATTCTCTCTCGTCTCTGAAACTCTCCAAAGCTCTTCACACCACCAAAATTCTCTTAGGGTTTTCAGAAATTCCTCACCATGACAAATCCCCAAGACAATCCTGGCATTCCACCACCCGTTTCACCCAACACTTCATCTTCTACACCACCAGTCGAAAACCCAAACCTAGATTCCATCGCCAGAAAATGCTAGCAAGAAAAACTGTAGCTACAGGTTCTTTGAGAAAAACGTTGAATGAAAAACTTCAGTCCAGTCAAAAGAAAGCAGGCCCAGCAGTTGAGACTAACTCTAGCTCTGAATCTAATGATTACATCTCCACCAGTGAAGGAGATGAACCTGGGTCTTCTGAACAGGCCAAAACTCAAGAAACCCAAAGAGAGGTAAAATCTTGCTATGTTTTTTCTGATGTAGTTGAAAGGGAGGAAAATCGATTTGTTCTGATAGGGGCTGCTAGAGATGTAGGTGGGACTGATTCTGGGAAAATGAGGAAGAAAAAGAAGAAGGAACCTTTAGCCATATGTGGGGGTGGGGAAAAAGGAGTCTTGAAGTCAGGGGGAAGTGGTGAGGCTGCTGAGGTGTTAATTAATCTGAGTAAACAACAAGATGAACCTGGTTCATCTGATGAAGAGAGTTTGGCTGACTTGTTGAAGAAAGTGGGGGCCAGCTATGACCCAAAGAAACGCAAGGCTTCCTCACAAAAGACCCCTGCTGCATCCAAACCAACCAAGAAAAGCAAACAATCACCACCCAAGTCTACTCCTAGGATTAGAGCTACTAGAAGTAGGGTCAGGGAAAGTGAAGTAGAATTGAAGAAGGCTTTAGAAGAAAGCAAGAAAAAGAGGAAAGAGAAAGGGAAAGCAAAGATAGGTGAAAGCTCGGAGGCTGTGGTTGAAGAGGAAGAAGAAGAGATGGAACAGGTCCATCTAGAAAGGAGTACTACTGTGGAAGTTTCCACTACCAAATCAAAGGGAACCAGGAATTCTGCCAAGAAGCCCTCCAAGCCAGTGCTGAACCTGTTCTTGCCAAGAGAACAAGGTCAGCTGCAAAAGGAAAACAAGTGAAAATTGCTGAAGAAGATGATGAATGGAGTGAGGATGAAGGAGATGAGTCAGAGAAGGAACAGGACAGATATGCCATGTTTGGCAAGAGGAAAATTCTGAAAGGGAGACTACTCAAGGACCTGGAGGAGCCAGGTATGATAAGGCTTCTGACTGCACTAGAAGCACAGGGCTGGAAGGACATGGTTCTTCATATGGATGGAAAATTGGCCAGGAATGAACTTGTAGAGTTTATGGCAAATGGGACAGTGAAGAATGAGATGGTGACTAGCACAGTGAGAGGTGTCAAAGTAAAGTTCAATGCTGCAAAGCTGGGCAAGATTCTAGACATCCCTAGTGAGGGATATGATGATTATACAAGGCAGAGGTGGCCTTGCCTGGATGGGTTGCCTACTGATCTTCAGATCACAAGGAACTTTTGTGACACCACAACAGATGAAGAGGTACCTGAGGCCAGGGCAGTTCAGAAAAGTGAAATGAGGCCCGATCACAAAGTGCTTTTTGAATTTGTCAACAAATGCCTTCTACCCAGACAGGAAAGAAGGCATACAGCAAATTATATGGATCTGGTTCTTATGCAATGCCTGAATGAAGGGAAGCAGATCAACTGGCCTGCCTTTATTGTAAAGCTGCTTGAAAGGGTACTCAATGGCTCAAAAGCTCATGCCATTCCCTATGGATTTATCTTGACAACTGTACTTGAAAGATTGAATGTTCCCCTGAAAAAGTGGAAAATGGCTTCGAGCAAAGAGCATTTTGGCAGCAAAACCCTTCAAGCTTGTGATTATATGCTCAGTACAGCTCCAGTTGAACCTGGTTCTTCAGCAAAAACTCCTGTGAATAGTAAGGTCAGAGCCTTAGTTCAGGAGGTTGGGGCAAAAGACGCTGAGATAGCAAGGCTTCAGGCCAGAGCTGCTGAATTGGAGGGAGAAAGGAATGGGTTGAGAGCTGAACTTGCTAAGGAGAAGGAGAAAAATGAAGGCATGCTTCAACAGATGCTCAATCTGCTACAAACCCAACCCTCCAGCTCTTCTAAGCCTTAGATATTTTTTCCTAGTGTGCACCAGTCTAGACCCCTCAGTGACCCAGTTTGAGATTTTAGATGTTTATTTTCTTTTGCTCACGGTTTGGTAATTTTGTTTTTCTTCTTGTGGACTGCATTGTAGAAACACCTTGCTAATCAATGAATGCAGCTTTTCTTGCTTTTTGTTAATTCTGATCTTAATAGTTATTTTTGTCAAGTTGATTTTTGATTATCTAAAGCATGCTTTCACTTGTAGTTTCCCCAGTGGCCATGAGTAGTGATTAATATTCTGGGATTCACATATTTATGCAACTTTTCGATGATGCCAAAAGGGGGAAGATATTGTGCTTTAAAAGAAATTGTGTCTATTTTCTGAACAGTGATGTTTATGACCTAATTAAATCTGGCCCTTAATGATAAGTAAGTGATGATATTTTCGCTGAGTTCCACAGGTTCTATAATCAGTAAAAGCACTGAGTTTGTCATCATCAAGAAGGGGGAATTTGTTGGCCCAAGATCAGTTGAAGTTTTGAAGAGTGACAAACAAACTCAGTAAAGGACCAGGTTCATCTAAGGAGACACAGTTGTTATGGCCCATACACATGAGATGCACGTGAAGAAGATAAGTCCTTGAGATCAAGCAGCAATATCTTGATGGATATCTTCTGAACTGATCGAAAAGATTGCATATAGGATAAGGAGTTGAAGTCTCCTTATGAAAAGAGAATTACATCCGGATCAAGAATATGGATTAGGAGTTAGAGTTGTTCTTGGACTCGAATTGTCAAAGGATCCACAATTCGAGTTCTTATCAAACTCTGATTACTAACTCTATAAATATAACGATTGTTCTCTTTTACAGGAGAATGCACACAAGCAGAAGTTAAGCATATTTGAGAGCAAAAAGATCAAGTCTGATTTGCAAGCAACATATGCGAGATACAAGTGTGCACGTCTGAAGCTACATGAACTAAGATAGAAGAACCAGTTTCATCATTGTGTTTATTCTAAGTATAGTTCAATTGTAGTAGGTTTTCATATTGTACCTTTCAGCTTTATCTAGAAGCAATTGTAATAGGTATATTGAGTATTCAAGTTAGAGTTAACTTGAAAGTGTCGCAACAGTTGAGGCTGTGTGCTACACTGGGATTAGAGTTGATCCTTAGGTTTACAAAGAGTTTTGTAAATGAAGTTTTTGGCTCAGTGATTTTAGTGGAGTTTGGGAAAATCCTACTAAGTAGTAGGTCGTGGTTTTTTCACCTTTTTTTGAGCCAGGTGTTTTCCACGTAAAAATCTCTGTGCACTTTACTTTCAGTATTTATTATTCCGCAAACTGCTGTAGTTAGAACACTTAGAAGAACCAGGTTCTTCTAACGCGAAGATTAGGTACCACACAAATCACCCCCCCCTCTTGTGTGGTATTGATGTCTCAAACATCATAGGCTAAAAACAAGACCAAACAGGCCCAAATCACTAGTCCAACGACCCTAGACCCAAAGTTAAACGACCCCTTATTGAAACCCGGTCAGGACCCGCTTATTGACACGCCCTGCTGGTGGTACGCTATAATCTAATGTTTTAGTTGCTTATTACATTCCAATTTACTGCACTTCAGTTGAATTTGAGCTTTAATCGATAATGTTTTGCACTAATTATGTATTTTATGCCTTGTAGGAGTGATTCCGAGCTATGTAGGTGTTATGCAATGAATTCAACCTATTTAGATCTTTGAAGTCTGAGTAAAAGTCCAAGGAATTAAGCCAGGATCGTGTTCAGGGATCAACGTATGATGGTGCAACGAAATAAAGAATTGAGTAGGCATATTGGGCACTGTCTAGTAAAATACACATCACCTTTCGCTCAGAACTCCATTTGGGCTCCACAATATATTGTTGGAAAGCTAATTCAAAGTGCTACAACTTTCATGTTTTTCATTTTTTTCAAATACGGAACTGAACATGGTGAAAAGTGCACGGCCAAGTGCGTGGGCACCCTTCCAAGTGCACGGCCGCGCACGTCTTGTCCGGGAAAAGTGTACTTTTTCGCGTAGGAGAAGGTGTATGTGTTTGGGCCCGACCCTACTTGGTATATATACATGGAAGAACGGTATTTGAGGACTTTTGAAACATCTAAGACCTAAGAAAGCTAAGGAGGAGGTGGAGAAGAAAAATCGCAAGGATTTCTTCATCCAATTCTCACTCAAGACAAGAGGTTGGATCGTTTTATGTTTTCCTCTGATTTAAACATTGTTATGATGAATTAGTCTATATCTATGGAGTAGTTATCTTTAGGGGTTGATGGGTTTGTTGTGTTGGTACTTGTTTGTGGATAATTAATTCTAGTTTTTATGTATAGAATCATTTTTAGATGTTTTAATCATTGCTTCTATATTCACTAGTTCTTGTAATTGAGAGAGGCGTAACTTGTGATATTGTTGCTTTATATTTTGTTTGACGCCTTTAATTCTTCTTAGTAATAGAAAGATGCTAGTAAATTATTGACTAAACCTAGTTAGGAGATAATCGAGAGAGATTCTCCTAAAGACCAATCCACTACAAATTCTTGCATATCTTCACGTACTTAGAATTGGTTCATCTTGTGAGGTTGAGACTTAATCGAGAGAGGACTTTCTACTAATCAATTGAACTAATAACCAAGTGAATTCGAGGGACTCGCTTGAACATTAAAAGTGAATTATCTAGAGTTAAATCCCAAATATTTTTCTTGCATCTATCCTATCAACCCTATTTTCTCCCATACCTTTCTCGGCCTTTTCGCTAAGATCATGTGTAGTATCTGTTCTTATCAGTTTTAAAAAAAACAACCCTATTTTCTCCCAATTGATATCTTCCTTTGCTTAATACTTGCTCTGATTGTCATTAGCCAATAGTTTTGACTATGAGTTAATTTTAGTTTTAAATCACATAAATCTCAATTGTTGATCATCTTAGATAGCAATCTAGCTGCAAACTACGATAAGAACTGGTAACTCCAATCCATGTGGATACGATATTATAATTACTATATTCTACTAGCGAGCATATTTAAGTGTGTGTTTTGCACTCGTCAAATTTTTGCGTCGTTTCCGGGGATTGGAAATCAATAGTGTTTGAAATAGATTTGGGGTGTTCTTGGACTGTACGCAGGCTACAGGATTTGGGGTGTTCTTGGACTAATCAATAGCGAGCTAATTCAGGAATTTTTCTTTTTATTTTTATTTTATTTTTCTCTTGTTACATTTGGGGTGTTCTTGGACTGTACGCAGGCTACAGGTTAGATTGGTGCATGACCCGGTCTTCTCGGAAGGAATTGCTAATACACGAACCATAAATTGAGAAACATCTGCGACAGTTGAGAAAGGAAAGAAATCTCCCCGAGAATATAGAGACGTTTGGGAAATCCTCAACCAAATAAAATATTGCGGAGATGATGATAATGATAATTTGCGCTGAGAGAGGCAACCCAACTTTGGAAAAAACTGCTCGAGTTGATGAAGAAGCAGCACTTAGACATGCTGTTGATACCTAATCTTTCCCTGTATATTTTAATATGCAAAATACCTTCAAATAGCCTGTATATGCACATATAAGTATGTCCCAAGGTTTTATTATTTTTTCTTAATTTTCAAAGATTTTTAAAATCAATTTATTACCCAATTTTATCAAGGAAAAACCATATAATTATCCCCAAAATTATCATTTTTGTGATTCATTTATTGAATTCTCATATTTATGCTAAAATATAGCTAACATAATTTTTGCATATTTTTATAAATTTATTTAGTATTTTTAAAGCTAAATTGCATATAATTGCAATATTAGCCTCTTTTAAGGTTTAATTGTGTTTATTATTTAATCATTTTCAGTGCCTTTAATTTGTTTCCAAAAATTATTTTTCTATTTTATAAAATTAAACAAGGGAAAAGTGGCTATTTAAATACTAGCCCCGTTTATTTCAATTGTAGCCCCAAATCAACCCCCAATTAAACCCAATTCTAAAGCCCAATTACCCTGACCCAAATCCTAGTCTACCCGACCCACGACCCTTTTAGAATAACCCGCCCGAATCCCTATTCAATCCAGGCCGTTGATCAAATGATCAACGGCTACCCTTTAATCTTTCCTTTTTAATTTCCCATTACCCCCAAGCCCTATCCATTTCTCACCGGTAGCAGCCTTTGAATCCCCCTTCTTTTTAACTCTCTCGCAAACTCCCTCTCAAACCCTAGCCGCCATCTTCAACCACCACCCAAGTCGCCTGAATCCATGGCTTCCAAAGTCATTAAAGGCCTGTACCTACCTCATATAACTCCTACATGCTCGATTATTAGGGTTTCAAGACCAGACTTTGAAGAAGCTTGGTCCAGACCTTGGTCTATTTCGGTGCTATGCTGTCTCCGGTCATCTTCGACCTTGCTCCGGCCAGCCAGGGCTATTCAAGCTTGACTCTTGGCTCCTCCTACTCAGATCAATGACTTTCCAAGCCTTTCTCACCATCTGGGTTCTTCTGAAACCCTAGCCTTCGAGGTTCTTCTGTTTCTTTTAGATCCGTTGTAGATCTATGTTTTGTCTAAGCTTTTAAACGTTTTCTCAAAGTTTCTTTCAAGGCTTTACCTTCAAAACCCCTTTTACCTTTTCCGATTTAGGATTCTATTAAGTCACTTCAAAGCTTTTCTGATTTTTAACATGTTCTATGTTTTCATGTTGTTCTTCTACTAGAGTATGCTTGTTAAAAGTTTTAATCCTCTTTGAGACTTCTGAATTTATTTGCCTGATTTACTTGCTTTCATCTCTACACTCGATTGATGGTGAAAACCCTAAATTTGGGGATTCATTCGAGTTTTGAGACTATTTGCTATGTGATTTGCTTGTTCTTCATCTATGAACTTGTTTGGTTTCAGAGCCCTAATCTCTTCGAACCTATTCGAGTTTCTGAAAGTTGTTTCATCTACTGCTCGATTGAATTTCTGAATCTTTTGTTTCTCTATATGATTCTAACTTCCTTGACCCTTTGGCATGC